AGACATCTATTGTTTTTTCAGCCTACCACCACTCCCTTCTACTGAGACTTGTACCTCTTCCTACTCCAGCCATGTGGTTCTTAGGGGAGACTGCCAGGAGCTTATATGACCCTGCCCTCTGGTCACAGTTGATTGGTCCAGAGATCTAAATAGGCCAATCAGCGTTTTTCCCTTGGATTAATTTTCCTAACTGGAACTGGAAAATATAATCATTCTCTGTGATGACAGGAACTCTGGAATAAGGAAAAACAGGAGCTTTTGTGGTCATGTTCCTCACCTTATGGAGAAAACCAGTCCTGAGTGAAAGAAAATTAAGGTGATATGCAGACAAAGGCAGACACAGAGATAGAAAGAGAGATCTGGTGGTATGTGAGTCCCTGCTTGTGGAACCCAGCTGCATCCCTGCCTTTCTGCAGAATGACTTCAGTGACATGGGAAATCATGCCCTAAAAAACCTGTAGCAGATGCCATGCCCATAGCCCATAGTACTCATCATTCTAGCACTGCATACACTCAAGGCTGAAACACCCCATGATGGCCTCCTTCGCTTCCTTGAATCACTTCCCCATACCCCTATTAGTGCTCCCTGGGATCACTTCCCAATAAACCACTTGCACCCCCATCCTTGTTTCAGGGTCTGCTTCAGGGCAAAACCAGACTAAAACATGGTCCCTCTTCTTACCTAGACGAATAAAATGTGGGTTTTTGTAACTTGCAACCACGAGTTCTACCTATTACCTCATTCTGGGATGATTCCCAAAATCTGTTTGGAATTCCTCATCTCCACTCCAGTGACTATGTCATAAATACACAGATTTCTCTAAAAAGTTTAATGGTATTCTTTTCTTTCTTTCTTTCTTTTTTAGAGAGGGCGGGAGAAGGGACAGAGGGAGAGGGAGAGAATCTTAAGCAGGCTCTACACCCAGCACGGAGCCCAACATGGGGCTCCATCTCACGACCCTGAGGTCACGACCTTAGCCAAAATCAAGAGTCGGACGATCAACCAACTGAGCCACCCAGGCACCCCAAAAAGTTTAATGGTATTCTTGAAACTTAACAAAGTTTAATGGTATCCTTAAGTTTGACACAACACACTGCACTTCTATAACAGTTCCTGTGACTAATATATGAACCATGCAAAAGAAGGTTAAGAGTCAGAGATGGCTGGACTTGCAAGAAAGAATGGCACAATCAAGATGGCATGGCAGGAAGATGCTTCTGGAACTGAGACCCTCAAGCCTCATGTCCCACAGCTGAGTACTAGGACAGCTTGAAAACATAGTGGCAGTAAGAGATTTACTCTCTCCTCCATATTTCATCCTCCACCCCATCCAAAGTGCTCAATAAATATTTGATAAACAAATGACGAATTTATGCCTTCCAACAAAACTTACCAAAAGAAACCAAGGCACATTTCAATGCTGCAACCATAAGCATCACAGTGACCATAATGAAAATTTTCTCTAGCCAACCACCTCCACCGAATTCTGCTGATTACATGAAATATGGCACTTCGGGGATGTTTCAGTGGACAGGGAAGACTGTTTGTTGCATGACTGCTAGCTATTTTTTCTGTGCTTCCAGAATATAGAGATATGTATAGATTGTCCCAAAAAGGGCCTAAATGATTACAATTATATAATTGTATATAATTCCCAAAGGGTCAAACCACTTAGTACAAGTATTCCAGTTCCCTTGGAGAATCTACACACCAGGTACTCAAGATTCTCTCCTTGGACAGGCCCAATTCTGGGATCAACAGCAACTCTGCTCTGGGTCTGGCTTTCTCAAGAGTAGTATACACTGTTCATTGCCACCAGAGGTATCCAAGGACACAAACTAAAGATAATAATGCTTTATTGCCCCTCAATCATCTGTCCCTCCCACATGCTGGAATGCCAAGGAATACCAAGTCAAGTTTGTCCAAGCACAAAATAGCATCATTGGCATCATCAGATCAAATAACAAAATTTTCAGTGGCAATTTATCATCATACTACAAGTAACCAAACACTGTTAAGCACTTACACTGCTAGGGACCCATGTAAATACTTTACCTGCTGCATTAGCCAGGATAGACTGGGTTATGCCACAGTAACAAATGAACCCCAAAATCTCAATGGCTTGGCAACAAAGGTTGACTTCCCATACTCCATTCTACCATGGATTGGCTGGGGACTATGCTCCATATGGTCACTCAGAGACCCAGACTGATGGAAAGCCTACCATCTTTTTTTTTTTAAGATTTTATTTATTTATTAGAGAGACAGCATGAGAGGGGGGAGGGTCAGAGGGAGAAGCAGACACCCCGCCGAGCAGAGAGCTGGACGCAGGCCTCGATCCCAGGACTCCAGGATCATGACCTGAGAAGGCAGTCGCTTAACCAACTGAGCCACCCAGGCACCCGAAAGCCTACCATCTTAACACAAGACTTCCAGTTAATAGGGTGGCAGGGGATGAGAGAGTGAAATAGTTAGGTACCAGCCCTAGACAGCTGTAGGCTAGAAGTGATGCATGTGGCTTCCACTCAGCACATTGGCTGTAATTACAAAGGGGCTGGGAAATGAGGGGGAGAACATGGATATCCCATGAGCAGTAAACATTCCTACCAATGTACAACATCTCATCAAAGTCTTACAACCTTAGAAAATATATCATTATTCCTTTTTACAGAGGAGAAAACAGAGACATACAGAGGTTAAGGGACTTGTGCCAAGGTGTCATAGATAATAAGTGGCAGAGTCAAGATGTGAACCCAAGCTTCAAAACATGCTCAACCTGGAAAACTTCAAAACACGCTCAACCGCAATGCTGCATACTCATCACAAAATTCTATGAAAATCCCTCAAATAGCAAAATATATGCTAATTAATCAGAGAAGCCAAGTTACACAAATACAAAATAGAGCTCCCCTGGCACACCACTTCTTCACCCCAAAGATTCAACCTAAGCAAAAACCTGGAACAGAATTCCAGGCAATTTCAGCAAGGGGGAAACAGGTTCTCCATCTGGGTCTGATATGCAGCCTTCAGTACACCCACGTCAAGACAAAAATCTTCCAAAAACTTCCCCTGAATACCTGAGCAAACCTTCAACTCCTGTCAGTTGATGACATCTTTATACAAGGCATAGATCTTTCTAAAAGTGCAAAGGTAAATGTCATCCATGTACCTGCAGGAAGAGGCCGGAGGCAGATGTTGTCATATCCAGATGAGTGGCTGAGTGACAGTGCTTCCAACAGGTTAATTCCTCCAGCCTATAAAACTCAAGCCTAGCACTACCTCCTCCGAAGAACCCTCCCCTACCCAGCTTCTCCAGGTTGGGACCCTCTACCTCTACTCCCACATCACTTCCCATGCACACCTCCAGCAGGGCCCTTCCATTGCATGTAACACTTTACTCGCCTGCCTGTCCCCTGGACTCTGAGCCACCCACAGGCAACCTCTCATTTATATTTCTGTATCTCTTACACCTAGGACATAGTACGTGCTCATTTTTTTGCAGATCCTTAAAAGTATTCAAAGCAATTTGTGCCCTTGGGGAATTTAACACACCCTCCCATGCCCAGCAAACATGTGGCCAAGTAGGAAAACTACAGTCTCAGCCTCACATCTGCTGTGTGACCATGAAGTGGTTCCATAGCCTCTCTGAGCTGTTTACTTAGCTACTAAGTAAAAACCACCTCACAGATATATTGCAAAAATTAAGTGAAAAGCAAAGGGTATTCAATTCATAGCAGCACTATTCACAATAGCCAAAAGATGGGAAAAAAAATGTTGCTCAGCTGGTGAATGGATATATAAAATGTGGCATATCCACACTATAGAATACTAATAAGCCATGAAAAAGGATGAAATGTTGATGCACTCTACAACATGGATGAACCTTGAAAACATTATGCTCAGTGAAAGAATCCGAACACAAAAGGCCACATACTTTATGATTCCATGTATATGAAATGTCCAGAGGAGATAAATCCAAGCAGACAAAAAGCAGATTAGTGGTTACCAGAGAATGGGTAAGGGAGGGATGAGGAGGAGTAACTGTGAATGGGTATAGGACTTCCTTTTGATGGGATGAAAAAGTTCTGGAACTAGATAGAGGTAATAGTTGCACAACATTGTGAATGTACTAAATGTCACTGAATTTGTACACTTCCGAATGGTTAAAATGGTAAATCTTATGTGTATCTAGCCACAGTGACTTCTTTAAATTCTTATGAGAAATTTCCAACCCGATAACCTACCTCGGATTTTTTTTGAAAAAATTAAATGGGGGGCGCCTGGGTGGCTCAGCCGCTTAAGCGGCTGCCTTCGGCTCGGGTCATGATCCCAGGGTCCTGGGATCGAGTGCCGCATCGGGCTCCCTGCTCAGCGGGGAGCCTGCTTCTCCCTCTCCCTCTGCCTGCCTCTCTGCCTACTTGTTCTCTCTCTCTCTCTCTGTCAAATAAATAAATAAAATCTTTAAAAAAAAAAAAAAAAGAAAGAAAAAATTAAATGGAATAGATAATGTGTATATAGTTCCTGGCCCTCTCAGGCCCCCAATCCATGGTGGTTGCTTTCAGAGTCATAAGGAACAATAATGTTTTCCCTATAAAAAACAGAATATACTGAGCAAAGGAAAGCACCAGTCTAATTCGTTCCTCAATTTTTCACAATAGTGGAATTGATACAAAAGTCCAAAATATTTCACATGGTTTGACGTTTTTTATCATGGTAAAATATGCACAACACAAAATTTACCACTTTTACCATTTTAGAGTGTACAGTTCAGTGGCATTAAATGCGTTCACAACGTTGTGCAACCATCACCACCATCTCATTGGGTCTCATTTCCAGAACTTTTCATCACATAAAACATGACATCTTGTTACACTCCAGGTGTTTCAATCTACAACAGAGCTCAGGTACAATTATCAATTTGGACTTTGTTCAACCACAGATAAAAAAGGGAGAAAAGGGGAGCAGGCCCATGAACTCTGTGAGGTGTGGTGTTCGCAGCATGACAGGGCTCGGGGTCCTGACACTGCTGCTGCCTGCCCTGCTGAGCTGGGCCAGCTGCCACCCTGTCCCCGGGAGGAAGAACTTCAACAAGCTGCTGCTGATCTCCTTCGATGGCTTCCGCTGGGACTACGACCAGGATGTGGACACCCCCAACATGGACCACCTAGCCCGGGAGGGCGTGAAGGCCAAGTACCTAACACCACCCTTTGTGACAATGACCTCCCCATCCCACTTCACCACCATCTCCGGTAAGTTTCGCTCTGCAGCCAGTCCACCAATGCTAGTGGAAGCCCCAGTGTCTGTCATTCCCTGAAATAGAGCCCATTCTCAGTGAGCTCTTGGGAGACTGAGGCAGTTCATGCAACTGGAAGAAGCACTAGCTTAGAATATTCTGGTTTCTAAAACCCCACTGGCTACAGGGCACCAGCCTGCAGACACAATCAGGACCACAGCTACAGCCTCTCCAGCCCCTGTTCCCTGCTCCCCAGGCCCACCCACCCTCCACCCTGCCTTATATACAGTGGCTGGTGATCTTTTCCAAAACTAAATCATTAAAAGAACTTTATAAAAATAATAAAACATTAAACTTTAAAGAACTAGATTAGATTAGATGACTCCCTGGCTTATTATTGAAGAGTTGGAGGGACACCAATGCTCTACGGGTCTTTTTGGGGTTTTTTTTTTTTTTTTTTTTGGTTTTTAAAGATTATATGTATTTATTTGAGAGAGAGAGGGAAAGCATGAGCGGGGTAGAGGGGCAGAGGGAGAGGGAGAAGCAGACTACCTGCTGAGCTGGGAGCCCAAACACTGGGCTTGATCCCAGGACCCCGGGTTCATGACCTGAGCTGAAGGTAGACATTTAACCAACTGAGCCACCCAGGTGTCCCATCAATGTGTTCTTTGAAAAGAATTCAAATCTTATCTTTCTGTGGCTCAGAAAGTCCCACGACCTGGCCCCTGACCCACTCTCTCCTGGCCTCTCTCATCTCTCTTCCCCTCACAGAGTTCTCTCCAGATCACAAAGGCCACCTGCCTGTGTCTCCACCCAGCCCCCACCTGCCTCAGGGCCTTTGCCCTTGCCAGTCTCCCCAGATCACCTGGAGCATGTAGTCCAGGTGAGACAGGGGAGACAGACATTAGACAAGTAAATACACTAATAGATCTCATTACAACTAGGAGAGGCACTGAGAAGGAAGAGAAGAGTTTCTCCAGAAGATAGCAAGGGCAAATTGACTTGATATTGGAGGCAGGGAAAGGCTGAAATGGGACGGTTGAACTGAGAACTGAAAGAGACCTCAGGAGACAAAGAGGAAGGAAAAGTATTCCAGGCAGAGGGAAGGGCATGTTCAAGGTCTCTGTAAGAGGAAAGAATGTGGTCATTCCAGAATCCCAGTTGCCAAAATGCAAAGGACTTCAGTATAGTAAGAATAAGAATAGCTTCCGTTCCTCCAACATAGGCCTGAAGCCGGGCATATGCTAGGTGCTCTGACTTTGACATCTCTAATACAAAAATACTGCAAAGCAAGTGCTGTCCCCATTCCACAGATGAGAAAACTAAAGCTCAGAAAGGCTGAATAACTCATCAATCACTGGGCCAAGAAGCGGGCAAGGGGGAAGCCAGGTCTGGAACGAGTGTGTCCCTGGCCACATAGAACTGGTTCTGCCCAGCTATGAGCCTGGGATCCACAGACCCCTCTCATGGGGTAGGGAGTGGTGCCTGGCAGCATGAGCCTCACCCCTACCCAGAGAACCACTCCCTTAGGGTCCAAGGCAGCTCCAGGAGCCTCTGAAATGATACACAAACTGCTGGTACCTTTTTGGGGAGAGGGTTTTATCACTTCCATCAGACTCTCAAAGGGGCCCTTGAATCAGAAACTTAAAAAATAAAGCTGAACAACCACTCAGAGGGAGATTTGCTGAGAGAGATTTTCCTACGTGTAAACTCTTTGAGAGGCAAGTCATTTGGGAACTATTAGTGCCAGGAAACAGGAACTAAATAGCCCTTTTCTGGAGAAAGCGAATGCTACTTCCCAGTGGCATTAACTTCATAACATTTAAAAGATCTCCCATGGGCAGATTCTGGGTCCCTGAACACTGAGAATATGATGGGCACAAAATATTATAAGGCATGCCCACCTTTTATTTATTCCCAGAAGGTTTCCAATGAGAAGATATAAACAGTAAGAGCAGATTTTAAAAATTATAAAATCACTGCAACTCCTCTTCTATATTCATTGCCAGTGGGGAATGGAAATGGGTACAGTTTCAATGCAGAGTAATTTGGCAACAACCAATACAATCAGGAACATACAAATTTCCTTATTTGGCAATTCCACTTGTAGGACTTTATATATCGGCTGGGTGGAAAACGATATACACTGTACATAAAAGGTTATTCATTGCATTGGCATTTGTAACCACAGGAAAAATAGAAACAACCTAACTAGCCACCCAGAGGGGAATAGCTAAATAAAATACCAGACATCCATAGAATGGCATAATCTGTTACCGTTAAAAGGAAAAATGAGGTTGTTCTTTGTGCCCTGATAGGAAGCTATCTCCAAAATGGATTAAGTGACAAAAGCAAAATGCAAAGAATGTGTGTATATATGTGTTCATATAAATGTATGCCTATGTGCATACAATTCTTATAGATGTATAGAGGACCTCTGGATAAATAAACAAGAAATTGGCAATACTGGTTCCTCCAGGGAGGGCAGGGGGTGGGAGACTTTGAATTGTACCCCCTGTGTACTTTTTAGATCTTGGACCATGTAAAATGTATTGCCTATAAATAACAAAATAATCTTTTTACTTCACCCACTGTGGAAAAAACATGTTCCTTTGAACCCTCTATTTATAACCAGACCTGCCATTTATTGAGCAGGTGAACATTCACTCTGCTTCAACTTTAAAAAATGTTTTTCAACCCCAGCACTATTGACATTTGGGACCAGATTTTTCTTTCGTGGGGCAGGGGGGACATCATGTACACTGTGGAATGCTGAGCAGCATCCCTGGCCTGTAAACCCACTAGATGCCAGGAGCACCCCCTCCTCCCAATGTGACAACAAAAAATGTCTCCAAACATTGCCCAATGTCTGCTCAGGGAGAAAACTGGCCCCCAGCTGAAAACTCCTGCCTTGAATGGTGGAACCTAATACCTGGCTTATGAAAATGCTAAGCAGGTACCATCATCATCAGATCCTTCAATTCTTGTAATGGTGATATGAAGTCAGGACAGTTATCCTCTTTACAGGTGAGATATCCGAGGTTCAAAGAGGTACAAATCTTTTCTGGGACAGAAGTAAGATTCAAATTCAGCCCTGGATGGTTACAGACACTGATTCCTCAATCCCTGCCCTCCAGCATGACTATGAAGCACCAGCATCTTTGATTCTAATTAAGTAATCATTCCAAACCCCTCTGAATGTTGCCCATCCTCAGAGCTTCCAGGAAACAAATATATATCCTCAATATGCTGTATTAATGAAACAGAGGCCACCCCAGGCCCAACAAAACCCCCAGCATCTGTCTTCATGAGCTGGGTTCAAGCAGACCTCTGTCTGACTCCAGTGTGGGAAAGAATCATCCATAATAGAAAAAATAATGAATAAAATTCGTGCTGCCAGCACCCAAAGACCTCATCAGATTCCAGGGTGTAGGCCTGACACAAAATATGAAAAATGGGGCTCTCTTAGCTCAACAACTAATTACTTGGTGTTCTTATGTACACCTCTGGGCAATTTAACAGGGAAAAGAGGTGATGAGAAGGAACCTGTCGCACTGTTTCATATCTGAGCTGCATACGACACACAGCTCCAACACAGGCTCAGGTCCAAGAAGCCATGTGGCCACTCCTCTGAGCTTCCTAGACAGAGTTTAAGGGGCAGGGGCCAGGTCAAGGCCAGGAGAAGCCATGTCCCAGGCACAAGGATCCATGAGCAAGCCTCCCTAAGACAGCTGACTTAGCTGCCCAGGGTCAGAACTCTGGGCCTCCTAGAGCATCTGCTGCCCTCATGTGGGCAGCAGGGTCTCCTCATGCCTGGGGGCTATCAGGTGTGTGGATATCTCATCCCTCACCCCAGAGCCAAGGTCACATGACCCTCATCAGTTTTCCCTGCTGCTGGTAAAGAAAGTCTTCCTGGAGAGTGGAGAGTTTTTTTTTAGAGGGTTTCCAACGTATGCATTCCTTCATTCAACAATTACTGTTTTAGCATCTCTGTTGGGCCTGGCAGCGGGAACAGTGGCCAACTACACTTAAGTGTCTCCAAGGTCTTGCCCAGGGCTTGCCCCACAACACAGGCTCATGTCCCCTTGGTTCCCAGATCCCACAGATCTTTTGGGGGATCTGTTTCCTTTTCTTTGTAGCTCTGCCAGGGAGAAAGATGAAGAGCTCTTTCTTGTGGATCCTTCTGCCTTTTTGTTTCCTTTCTCTGACAGCTCAGGGAATCAGACAGGGAAATGTGTTCTCACTCAGGTGAGCACCCAGGTGTGCCCCCCAAGCCTTTTTCTGCACCCTAGCTCCCCATAAGGGGCAGAGCTTAGCAGAAATACCCGCTTTCCATGTTTTCTCCCATGGCACCCTCTCCTTGAAGCAGGGAGGAGAGAAGTCCTGAGCAAGAAACTCAGGGACGGAGGATTTCTTAAAAACTGGCTATTTATTCAAAATATCCTACCTTATCACCTTTCCATGTGAGACAATCTTTGCATCCTTACAAAGAATGTGTATTTTTCCTCCAACTATTGGCCCTCCCATCACCACCTGCAAGAGGTGGAAGTGGGGCCCCTATCTAGGATCAAAGCTCCCAAGTGCAAAGCAAGCCCTGGCTCTGGGGGAAACATTTTCCCTCCAGCTCCCCAAAACTGGGCACTGGGCAGGCCTGCATTTTAATCAGCTTCGTCCCCTCCCCATCGAATGAGCCATTACTTCCTCCAAGATAGTTTTCTTCTTCCCACCTGGCTTCATCACCCGCCACCCCCAACATCCATGTCTCTGACACAGACACACACACACACACACACACACACACAAACATGGGCTTGGCCACAGTACCTGGAAGTTACTTAAAATAGAATGATGTATTAGTTTTCTATGGCTGCAGAACAAATTACCATAAACTTAACAGCTTAGAACAACACCCATGTATTATCTTTCAGTTTCCATGGGAGAGAAGTCAGCACCACTGAGCCTCTGCTCAGTGTGTCACAAAGCTGCAATCAAGGCGTCAGCTGGGTTGGGGTTCTC